CCCTGAACGCCGAAATTGAGGCTCATAGAGCGCTCATTTCGCCGATGCGCCGCGTCCCGCAGGACATTCTCCTCGAGATCTTCTTCGCCTGCCTCCCGACAACGCACAACGCTCTTATCGATCCCCTCGAAGCGCCTATGCTGTTCGGCCGCATTTGCGCGAGTTGGCGGAGTGTCGCGTACTCCACGCCGAACCTTTGGAGTTCGCTCCACATCCCAGCATTGCCTTCATCGAACTGGTTATCCACCGTCCCAGCGGACCTCGAGGACGAGCTCGCGAAGGTTGTAGAAACATGGTTGGATCGCTCTGCCACCTGCCCGCTATCAGTCTCTCTCTGCCGTGGTAGAGACGACATCGATGCTCCCGGTTCCCTGAATCAATTGATCAGGGTTTCTGGCCGTATACGCCGCCTCCGCATATGGGGCTTCATCAAAGACGTGCGGCCCCTTGTTTTTATGCCCGCGGCGGATTTTCCGAGTCTCGAAAGCATCGATATCCAATGCCCGCCAGACTCAGATCAACTATTAACATTTTGGGACACGGTGTCTGTCTTCCACGCGCCGAATCTCCACCGAATTACATTGGACATATCAACCGAGCCGCTCACCCTTCCCATTCCATGGTCGCAGATCACCGACCTCAATCTAACTTGCTTCCCTATCTGGAGTGACACTCCAGGTGGCGATCCAGGAGGGTTAAATCAGAACGGTGCCCAGACGCTGCTTCGCAGATGCCCGAACTTGGTGCGATGCTTTCTCAGAGTAACCCAAGCTATCCCATTCGTCGCCGGCCCCACCATCACACTCCCCCATTTGGAGGCTCTCGTTCTCTTAAACAGAGTCGACACAGTTGAATTCATGCAGACTCTCATCGTGCCCAAATTGGTTCATCTCGGTGTTGGGGAAGAACGATCTCCCGCGCTGGCCATGGTCGAGAGCCCGACACAAGGCCTTACGCTCGACCTCCTCTACGGGTGGCAGCTCTCAGAAGACGGCCTGCTTAACCTTCTGAAGCTTTTCCCCGCCATTTCCGACATCCGAGCCATGCGCTTCGACGTCGAGGACGACTTCCTTGCCCGTCTCAGTCCGAGTCCCACCACCGTGTGCCCTGGACTGAAAAATGTCGACTTTGGCATCTGCTACTTTTCTGATGCTGCCCTCCTGGACTTCATTCGGGCGCGGATGATTTCGGCCCATCCTCTTGAGCGCGTAACAGCCCGCCTTCAGCGCGCGATGACGGTGGATATTGTGGGCGAACTTCAAGCGTTCATCTCACAGGGCCTTCAGCTTGACCTCCAGTATCTTTCGAATCCCGATTCAGTGTGGAAGTTCAATCCGCGGGAAGGAATTTACGACGATGAGGTCGATATTTATTGATTTGGAGATGAATCGTTGTACGCAGTAATGCCACCTTTCTGTTCCCCGTGGCTTTGCCGAGGCGTGCACATTTCTTTCCCTGTTGGATTAGCCCGGCTCCCGTCAATAAATCACTCGGCCTTCATGCCAAGTTCATTTCACTTCAATGTTGGAGCCGCCTGGCAATACATTCCTTTTTCGTCTTCGATGGGAACTGTTTGTCTCTTATGTAAGATTGCTCTGACGGCCCTATACTGCAAATTGAGAACCTGCTGCGAATCGAATAAATTAACCCGAGGTTCAAATCGCATCAGTGAGAAATTTTGAACACGTCCAACTTCTCGCGAATCCGGTTCACCTAGAAACGTGGTTCTCGTGCTCTCTGAGATCAGTATGAAAGTCGCAAAACATCCCTTGCATACACGATGCATGTTTACATCGATGTCTCTGTTTATATCATCCGGTACCTGGCCATACGGCTACCGCGCTTCATTATTCTTGATCTGAAATCTGAACCTCCAGATTCAGCTACAAACTCCATCAACCTTTCCGCAAAATTCTTGAGCTCTGGAAGCTCTTTTCCTCTGGAATTGAAATTTTTTGAAAACAAACAGCAATGAAAATGAGTGTTGACCCCATAGGCGAAAGTTTTTTTTCCGACTTGAGGCTAATCGGACCTAGCTTGAACTTTTGTGCTCAAGAGCGATTCCAGAGCAATCAAGAGCTGTCAAGAAATTTGTAAAAAGTCTGATGTCTTTTCAACGTCGCGTTCCGGTAGCATAATAGTAAAGTATGCATGAACGATATCTTTTCCTTTGAGTTCTCATGGAGAATCTCTGTTCGATTTGGGGTTAGGCTACTGAGCTTACGGGTTTTTTCTCTTTCTTTTTTCTTTGGCGGTAATCCACTCATCACACACTGACCTGTACATCTATTTCAGCCAATGACCTAGTTATGTTTCCAGTGACCGTTATTCGCCTGATAGGATCGCTTCAGTGAATGATCGCTCGAAATCAATCTGTTCTCGCATTTGTGTAAAGTTTCGGCCTTTTGTTCAAGATGTCGCATAATGGCTTGACCGTTCAGCGACGTTTTGAGCCAATTGCAATTAAGTTTTAGAATCAACTGAACTAGCCAGACTCCTACTTTGACATCCAGCAAGCGGTCTTCCCATTTCAAGTGCATTCCAAACAAGTTGACCATCAGCGGAGGTTGAAGATGTAGACTCCGGAAAAGCACATACCGTTGGATTTAGTCACGCGGCGTCGAAGGTCGACGTTGAAGTGGATTCCACGAAGGTCGAAGGATTTATCGACGGGAGCCGGCCTGATCCAACGGGGAAAGAGAATGTGCCCAGCGCAAAGCCGCGGTGACGCGATTCAGGAAACCGAAAAACATTGCGTGCAGGCCGAATAAATTAATGCGTCCAATAACTGTCCTACACATTAAAGATTATTGATCTCATCATCGTAGATTCCTTCCCGCGGGTTGAACTTCCACACTGAATCGGGATTCGAAAGATACTGGAGGTCAAGCTGAAGGCCCTGTGAGATGAACGCTTGAAGTTCGCCCACAATGTCCACCGTCATCGCGCGCTGAAGGCGGGCTGTTGCGCGCTCAAGAGGGTGGGCCGAGATCATCCGCGCCCGAATGAAGTCCAGGAGGGCAGCATCAGAAAAGTAGCAGATGCCAAAGTACACATTTTTTAGTCCAGGGCACACGGTGCCGGTGGGACTCGGACTGAGGCGGGCCAGGAAGTCGTCCTCAACGTCGAAGCGCATGGCTCGGATGTCGGAAATGGCGGGGAAAAGCTTCAGAAGGTTAAACAGGCCGTCTTCTGAGAGCTGCCACCCGTAGAGGAGGTCGAGCGTAAGGCCCTGTGCACCGCTCTCGACAGTGGCCAGTGCGGGAGATCGCTCCTCCCCCACACCGAGATGAACCAATTTGGGCACGACGAGAGTCCGCATGAATTCAACTGTGTCGACCCTGTGCAAGAGATCAAGAGCCTCCAAATGGGGGAGAGTGATGGTGGGGCCGGCGACGAATGGGATAGCTTGGGTTACTCGGAGAAAGCATCGCACCAAGTTTGGACATCTGCTAAGCAGTGTCTGGGCCCCGTTCTGATTTAGCCCCCCCGGGTCGCCACCTGGCGTATCACTCCAGACAGGAAAGCAGGTCAGGCTGAGGTCGGTGATTTGCGACCACGGAATGGGAAGGGTAAGGGGATCGGTTGATATGTCCAGTGAAATTCGGTGGAGATTCGGTGGAGATTCGGTGCGTGGAAGATAGACACCGTGTCCCAAAATGTTAATAGTTGATCTGAGTCTGGTGGGCATTGGATATCGATGCTTTCGAGACTCGGGAAATCCGCCGCAGGCATAAAAACAAGGGGCCGCATGTCCGCGATGGAGCCCCATATGCGGAGGCGGCGAATACGGCCAGAAACCTTGATCAGTTGATCTATGGTACCAGCAGGTCCGAGGAGGTCAAGAGCGTCGTTTCTAGGACGGCAGAAGGAGATTGATAGCGGGCAGGTGGCAGAGCGATCCAACCATGTTTCCACAACCTTTACGAGCTCGTCCTCGAGGTCCGGTGGGACGGTGGATATCCAGTTCGACGAAGGCAATTCTGGGATGTGGAGTGAACTCCAAAGGTTCGGCGTGGAGTACGCGACACTCCGCCAACTCGCACAAATGCGGCCGAACAGCATAGGCGCTTCGAGGGGATCGATAAGAGCGTTGTGCGTTGGCGGGAGGCAGGCGAAGAAGATCTCGAGGAGAATGTCCTGCGGGACGCGGCGCATCGGCGAAATGAGCGCTCTATGAGCCTCAATTTCGGCGTTCAGGGACGCCCGCATTGTTTTGAGCTGCCGGATGGCAATCTTCATTTCATCTATCTGCGCATCGATACGAGCCAGCTCGTCCATGGGTTCCGCGAGAAGAACACGTATCTGACCGAATTCAAGATCAGACGGGACGTAGTTCGTGTCGAGCTTATCTGCGAATGGCGACTCGAAGGAGAACATTGTGACAGTGCGGTGCAAGAGTGGCACCAGCACGTAATAGGTGTGATTGATTGACGAACAACCAGAATGATAATTATATAAATAGGGGCTATTTCCGAGTCGTTTCCCTCTGCTGTGATGTTCACGAAAGATAGTAGAACATTAGAATCGAAAATCCAAGTTGATTTCTAGGCCCCCTTTTCAAAATTTAAGGCTTGCTTCAAATGAGCGAATGCGAGACAAATCATAGTTTACCTTCTTTTTTCGTCTTCTAATGTCTCTCATGCGAGATTGCACTGACGGACCTGTACTTGATTATTATTTCAGAATGAGAACCTATATGAAATCCTCGGGGAGACATCAATAAATGAAACCGAGGTTCAAATAGACTCAGGTAGAAATTTTGAACGTCCAACTTTTAATGAATTAATATCAACGAATCCCCGCCAGCCTCACCCAGAAACTGTGGTTCTCGTGCGGTGTGAGATCACTATGAAAGTCGCACTACATCCCTTTCATCAACGGTGCGTGTTTATATCGAGGTCTCTGTTTACACAATCCGGGACCAGGCCACCACCGCGCTTCGATCTGAAATCTGAACCCCAGAATCAATACAAACTTTTTTCAGCACTTTCCATCACAGTCCAGTAGCATAATGGTAGTGCATCCATGAATGATGTCTTTTCCTTAGCGTTCTCATGGAGATTCTCTGTTCGATTCGGGGCTGGGCTACTGGGGTTGTGGATTTCTCCTTTTTCTGTTTTCTGTTTCCTTTTTCCTTTTTTGCCAGAATACCGGAATGTACTCACCACACACTCACTTGTGCATATATTTCAGTTAATGGCCTAGTTATATTTCCGCTGAGGCTCTGAATATTTGAAGAACATTGAACTGGTTAACTCTCGACTTCCGCCTCCCAACGGAAATCCAAAACCTTACTTATAAAATCTATGCACCTCTAGGGTTACTCGTCGTGCACTGAAATTTGGAAACAGAAGTATGTTTATCGCTAGGTCGCGACGAGGATGAGGTTATGTTGTGGACCTCGCGAGTATAATATATCTCCCGCCAGCCTAGACCGGCTAACTCCGGTCCATTCGCGGCTCGACCGAAGAAGAGTCAACAACACGACCAAAGAGCAAATTTTCTCTTCATCCCACGATGATCCCGCTCGCGCCAGAAATCATAGAGACAATTCTCGACGAGGTAGAGGCCCTTGGAGATGGATCGGAGTGGAGAGCAAAGGAAGAGTCGAAGAAGACCCTCAAGGCTTGTTCGCTGGTCGCACCCATATTCCTCGCTCCCAGCCAGCGTCTCCTTTTCCGTTCACTGACTTTGGGGGCTACATCCTACGTGGTGGGGTTTCCACCCAAAGCGGTGGAAGCCGTCGCTCATGGTTTCGCTGACAGCCCGCACCTGGCGTCGTATGTTCGCGATTTCTGTGTCCATCTCGGTGACGATCTCAACTCGAGCCACTTGACGTCGTTGTTCCGGCTCCTCTGTCGAGTTGAGCGTTTGAAAATATCCCACCACGGGGCCGACAAAGAATGGTACTCGCACCTATCCCCCGATTTCCGGGATGCATTCTACACCCTTCTTTCTCTTCCGTCGTTGCGATGCCTTGAATTACGGTGTCTTGGACTCCCTTCCTCTCTCATCGTCCACGCTCTCGCATCGTACAAAGAAGTAGTTCTGGCTCCGCGCGACATCTTCCTCAAAGAAGACCATCCCGCCGTTGACGATGGAATCCCATTGAAGCGTCTTGCGCGCACACCGCCCCTTACCCACCTCGTTCTCGATTACTATCCTGATAAATCCACGATTCTCCATGCCTTAATGCTTAGCAAGGATGTCGGTGCATCGCTAGAGTGCCTGCGATCCTTGAAGTTAACCGTTCCCCAACGAGGCTCACTCGGCGGTCTGGAGAAGATAGCGCTCCGATGCGCCAACTCCCTTCACCATCTCAAGCTTGATTTCGGGAGTACGTCTTTGCAGTTCCGGATCCTACTGAAGATACCATTCAATCCTCACGGCCGTTGTAGTATCGCTGAATCACGAAGACTCAAACGCCCCCACACTCGCTCTCCCCACCCTCCCCAATCTGCGCTCATTGACATTCAAATCCACGATGACAGAGGGCCAGGTCCCGGACTCGATCATGTCGGTCTTTGCCAGCCTCCCGCGGTGCACGCCCCGCCTCGAGGTCCTGACGTTCGACGTTAGCGCGGATTGGGAGATCCCCTTCAAAAGCGGCCGCAGCGCCGCAGCCGACAAGGCCTTGAAGAGCCTCCCGCGCCTCCAGCTGGCCCATTTCATTGTGGAGGCCGACGGGGTCGACGGGTCCCTCGCGCGAAGCGTGAGGAAACTCTTTCCATTATGCAATACCGCCGACCTCCTTGGATTCTCTTACCCCTTCGAGCAGCGGAGAAGCGACTGGGATTGTTAGCGCCTTCTTATCTTCCCTCGTTTTCATTTTTTGTGTCACTTTCTTATGTGCCCCACCCTCCCTTCTTGACGACTTAAATCTTGATTCACGCTGTTGCATCTTGATATCCGAAGCATATGTAATGTACCCTATGATACTTCGGCCTAGGACCCTTACACTTGCTACGACCAGTTGCTTATTCCTTACCGCGTATTCTGTACTGTGCTGTTAGGTACGTATCTTGAATTTATGCCGAGCGCAGACGTGCGGTTGATTTGAGAATAAAATTTGCCTGCAAAGGAGTGGCACTCATAGAAAGGCGAAAGACTGGAATTTCGTCAGGCCGGTCGGAGTGTCCAGATAGAGTAAGGCAAGTTCAATGAAAATCGAGTCCAACTTGGGCTAACTTGGGACATCGTGAGTGAAGTAGTCGTCTCGGATGATCTTCACTGCTTGATTTTTTACATAAAAGAAAAGGTGTCTCCGCAAAGGATTTCTCTTTAACCGATGATGTATGCCAAGAATCAAGCACAAATTGACCTTTGAGGTTGAACCAAAGATTGAACATTGCTCGGCGATTGCCGAGGCGGTCTAGACTCGGATCACGTGGTCTTTCGATCGTGTCCCAATTCGGACGTTGGCCTTATCCACCTCGACAACATCGGTCGTCTCAACTGCCCTCCAACACATCACGCTGAACGTTACACCACTCTACAGATTTGATGTCTTCCCCCGGCTCCATAACTCTAGCTACCGGCGTCCATAACGGTTCATTTTCACGCTCGCAATGACCTGTGACTACTTCAGTGAAGCGGCCCCAAACGAATCAGAGCGTCAGGGCGAAGCGGCGTCAGTACTACCTGCGCATTTGGCTTAGCTGTCGACCAAGGCAAGAACCAAGGCGTTTGGAGCCCAGGAGTGGAAGCTGAAGCGGGTTGGAGGCTCGCTGGCACAGTGCAGGGCCGTGTGCATCTAGCCGGTCCAGATACCATAGCGCTGCTTTAACCATTCAGCACATCGGTCCTCGTGCCCGCCCCCCTTCCCATATGGATGGCCCTCTCCGCAAATCCATGGTGGTGGACACAGATCATCTCCCACGTTTGGCTCGTCGTGCCACGGGTCTGGGCGCTCGCGCTCCTTCCTGTACCGCGTTTTTCCGCCACCCGACAAGACACTTGTGGCGGGAGAGGACTTCGACGAGGGGTCCGCCCGAGGAGTTGGGCGGTCTTCGTCACCGTACCGTCGTCGCGGAGGGTCGACCTCAGTTGTCCTGGACATCTTGTCGCCCACAGACCTCGGCGTCACGTTTACGCTCAGTGCTCATGTTGCGATGTGCGATGCAGCCGTCCCGCCCCAGCCACGCGGGCCCAGGCTGCAGGCGGGGCCTGCGTCTTCGTGGTCCTCCCCAATCGCTCCCCCGTTCCCTTCGCCCACCGCCACGTCATCGAAGTTTCGAGCGGTGATGCTTCAAGCCCACATCGCCTTGGTGAAACCCATGCTACCCCCGCCTCAGCAGCACGCGCAATCCACACCCATCCGGCTCCACTGCGCTCCTCCGCCCGCTGCTTCCCGTGTCACGGACGGCGTGCACGACGATACTTGAAGCCACATCACCAATCCGCTTGGGAAGCTGGTACTCGTCGACGGTCGAGTAGACCCCACCGCATGCCGACCCCGTCCAGCCCCATCACGACGCGTATGTGCTCGCGCCCAATCTGCATACCTATGCGGCCCCACTGCGTCCCCCCACTCCATCCGCTCGGCCCACCGCTGCGTCTTTGCGCGACGATACTTGAAGCGAAGTTGTCTATGCGGGAAAAACCATTACTCCCCTCGGGAAGCTATTCTTCGTCTTCGAGTCGTCGATGATCGAATCGGGGACCCCAATGCACGCCTAATCCATGTAACGCCGTCTATGAGGGACACCAATATTGTACACGCGCAATCCACATGCGGTCCCACTGCGCTACCCACTCCATCCGCTCTGCCCACCGCTGCGTCCTCGAAGCCTTGCGCGATGATATCTGAAGCCCGATGCGGGAGAGCTCTAAAGTCCATTCGGGAAACTGTTACCCGCCGACGGTCGCCACCGCGCGCCGAATCCCCTCAAGCTGGTCGTCGTGGTGGTCCTCTGCCCCCCTGGGATGGATTGCTCCTCCGTCCGCTCGGCCCACTGCCACGTCATTGAAGTCTGCGCGGCGATCCTTGAAGCCAAGCATTGCCCGTCACAGGTCCTCCGCCTCCTGCGATACGTCATCAGGGTCTGCGCGCGCCGTGTTGCTCCTCCACCGCTCATTTCGCCTAGCACTGCCCGCGCGATGCCGGGCTGCTACATTGGCGTGTGAGCCCCCAGCAACGGTCGCCTAATTCACACAGCAGGTGGTCCTTCCACTCCACCTCCTCCTGTTCCGGATGGCTATTGCCGGGCGGGGTCTATCATTCGGCCGTCTGCGCATTTCGTGCCTCTCACCGAGCCTCGTTCTCTTGCAGCCCAGTCCACGCTGCAGCAGGGCCTGCACGAGGCTAGCTAATGGATCTATCCATTCCGCAGCTGTCCCCCATCATCACCCGTGTTGCCTTCCTGTGTACTCTGACGTGGCGACGGAGCAAGTGGCGATATTTTGGGTTTTCATTGTCTTTTTTCGGGATTCTCGTGCTGCCTGAGGCTCCCCTGTGCGCCTCAGTCGGCTCCTTAGCTAAGTAGATCGCTCATGCGCAGTCCATAGAGCTATTCGTGTACGAGCGTGTCCCTATAAAAAGAGGTTCTATAAAAAAAACCGATCATGACATGAGGATTTCGTAATCCCAGGTCCTTACATAACCACCTTTCTCCTCCTCCTCCATCCCGCTCGCCCGCAGTTCTGCTTTTTCATAATTCCTCCCTTACGATGCCTTTCGGTAAATCCATGAGCCTCCGGCTCACCGCTCTTGCCACGACACTGGCTCTTGCCCATGCTCAAAAGTACACGCTTTCCCAAGATCTCTCAGGAGACAAATTGTGCGTCCTGCGGCCATTTTTCGCCGATGAAGAATGACTCGAGGTTTGCAGCTTCGCCGGGTTCAAGTACAACGAGAGTGCTGTTGATTTCAACAACTTTGGTGCGTTCGAGGAGTCTTGCTTCATTCAAGCGGCCCTGGCTTTGCGGGAGAGCGACGGCTTCCACTCGGCTTGGTCTCGCTTAGGCCCTGCTAACTCGGACGCGGAGTCAGAGGCCAAGGCAGACCGACCACTGCCTTTTGTAAAAAAGCCCCGGCTTCCCGGCTTTTGGTGCGGACCGACAAAAGCTAGGGGTCGGGTTCGTCAAAG